ATCTTCAAGTTATAAAAGACATTAAAGAAATTACTTAATTAATATATATATTTTAAATTCATAAAACAGCCAATATCCTGCAAGCACAATACATGTATTTTGTGGTAAATTTTTTGGATTCAAACTTTTTATGTGGTCTTTGGAATTTTATTAACTTTAGAAATTCATGTAATAAACTGTTTACTTTCCATCATTCCACTGGTCATTTGGCTGAGCTGAGAAGTTGCTTGTGGTTAACTATTTACCTCATGGTTACCTATTGATTAATTACCTAGTAATTAATTAGTTACCTGCTGGTGTCGCATTTTACCCACAATTTGCCGGTGGTTGAGTGTTGATGTCAGAACCTCCTAGCACATCAGGATGGATGATATGAGAAAGTTGTATAGATGATATTGATAAATTAAGATAAATTAAGGTGCTTCTCTCAGCTTGGGTATTGTCAATACTTTTAGAACATTAACTGATTAAATTATTTTTGTACCAAGATGCTTTGTTTTGTCTTCTTTTCTGTGATTTTATTATTGTAACAGTTAATTACAAGTATCTTTTTTTTAAAACCATTTTTTAAAAAGTAATGTTTTCTGGAGCACCATTAGGGATACAGTACTGTGCAAACGTCTTAGGCACCCTATTTTTTTTAGTACAAACTTTGTTATAGATTTTTATTTTATGACTTCTACATTATTGATTCAGTACAAAAACATTTTAGATTCCAAACATTAGTTTTCCAGCACAAAATTAAATGTTACAGAAAAATGGTTATATGTCAGTAAAGAAAGCAGCAGATTACATAAGAGACACTTTTCAGACAAAAAAACATAATGGAGGCTGCTGGGTTTTGCTGCAGAAATAAGAAGCGAGTGCAACAGTCAAAGTCTCCAGAAGAACTGCGGCTGCTTCTGCAAGATGCTCAGTAACACTTACAGCTCATTTCCTTATAAAACTGCACAAACTGTACCTGAGACTGCTATTTTTTTTAAAGCGAAGAATCATCACACCAGATATTGACCTTGTTTCATTTATTACTGTTTACTGCTCTTATAGTATTTTTTTTAAATGTAGAAACATTGAATTTCATTATTTTTGAAGGCATCTTTGCTCTACAGCATTTATTGCATGTGCCTAAGACTTTTGCACAGTACTGTATATACAGTACAAGACACAGCTGTTGAAATTCTGTAATGTCTAGGTATTTCTAAGTATCAAAATAATGATGAACTTTTTTTTTTTTTTTTAAACCAGAGTCCAAACAGTGGAATTTCTGCCTGTTTTGGGGATTCCAGTGTTCAGCATTGAATTTGCTTGTGATGTCACACTCCTCTGTAGTGGTTAACGGCTCATATGAAAGTAGACACTTTGCAGAATTTGCAGTTTTTCATTTCTTTTATTCTTTTTTTTATTTTTTTTTACAAAGCCTACTAGGTTTAAATGTTATCATTTTATTATGGCAGTTGTATACAGTGTTTTACTGTAAATTGTGCTTTCCTTTTTATCTCTGTATCAGTGTTATTGTGGAGAGGTATGAATTGTTTGCCCTGCAGAGGGTCACATCCCTCTCCTTTCCCATCACAGTGTCCTGACTAATCTTATAACAGACTTGCGATAAAATAATTCATTTGTTTATACTGACTGAAGATGTCCGATATGTTGATATCCATTCCGCCAGTGGAATGCAGTGCCAGTGTGCCGCAAAAAAAAAGGTTAATGACTTATTCAGAAGTAAACAGTCGAACAACCGATAGGGCAGATAGCTCTGGATCGCAGCTGACATGCATTATAGATAATATATTTACATGGCCACACTATAACAGTTAAAAAGAGCTCTTTGTAGATTTCAAATGACAGCAGCCCCACGCGATGTACAGTGACCGAGAAAGAGGCATTTTAGCCGACTTTGGAGCTCTATTTCCAGTTAAAATAATGTCTCAAGTGCTGCTATGGAGCTCATTATGTTTCAATCAATCATTTTACCCAGGTCAGAGGCTTTGTTTATTCAATCAAATTTTTGGGAGACTTTATAAATTTATTTATTTATATTTAATATATGGTGAACCTGTAATACATTTTGTTTACAATATTAAACCTCTGTTTGAAGCATTTTTTTTAATCTATTTAGTTTTATACAGAAAGAATTCCACATTGTTTTTCATTGTTTATTATATAGAAATAAGAATTAGTCTTCTTAGTCATAATCGTCATCAAAACTTTGTTCGAAAATATCCTGAGAATCGAATTGAATCATGAAGCCAGTATTGTGAATTGAATTGAATCGTGACTGGAGTGTATCGGTACAACCCTAGCAGTCTATTCTATTATTCATTTGGTCCATTACATAACAAACCACAAAAATGTCTTTGTCATGTTAGCGTGTTTTTGGGGAAAAAAAGAATGTTTGGAAATCTATCTGTATGAGTAGGTGTAGGAAAGGTGATTATAACAAAATCTTGATGATTATCTCACCCAAGACACTTTATCAGCTCTGAAAACTGAAGTTTTGTTACCTTGGAATTAGTGATGAAACGCCTACAAGATGATAACAAGTCCAGTTTCCTAGATGTACTAGCACAGGGCATATACTGAATGTCCGAAGGCAATAGAGCCAGTGATGTGTGACCAAAAATCTGAGGTCCAATCGTTCAAAAAGATCTCACACTGAGCTGTCAAGAGCCTTCATTTAGCTGCATGAGATCTGTTTAATTAGACCCAGATGGTGCATCAACACTGTATTGTTACATAAGGTGTTGTTATGGGTTTTCCAATTAAAGTACATTTGCACTTTGTACAGGTTTACAGTAAATAACTAAACAGAAATGGGTGTTTTGATTTGACGCATTAGATCCTTCTTTCTGTATTAAGCCAGTTTGTCCAGACTCCACTGTGGTCATTGTGCTCATTTGTCAAGCAGCTTTTTATTCAACATGTTCTCTATCTGCTGCATCTGTAGTGTATGTGCAATTACTACAAGCAATAATTGACCTGTTTCTCTGTAGTGGGAAGAGAAAGGAAACTCCTTTGTTCTACTCATTTATAATGGTTGTGTAAGGGCAGTTGTTGCAGTTAAGAAACATACCTTTGTACAAAAAGGTTGGCTCGATGCAGTGGCACAACACAAACATCATGCACTGCATGAGTGTCAGAACACTTCACTGAAATGAATAGCTTTATTGTTAGAGTGTGAAGATTTTAGAAGTAGTTTTAAATTTGCGTTATTATTGATTGTCCCAACAAGTGCCCTTACACTTCCATTAAGTGTTGATTTTTGAGTAAACAGATTTTCTCAGTATGAAGGGAAACGTATCAAAATTCATGTCTGTGATAAATACATATGGAAAGAGATTAGCTTGAAATTTGGTGGAGTGTTCCTTTAAGCAAAAGAAACTGTACTATAATAAGACCTGACAGATTTTGGTTCTTCTTCCAGAAGGAACACCTTTAAAGAGCCATGCTGGCTCCGGCAGCCAGACTTTAACCAAGGACCATTAGTAAAAAGGCCATGCAGGGAGAGGAGGGAAAACATTGGACATTCAGAGAACTTGGAGAGGAAAGCAAGAGACATACGACACAGGAGGGTGCTAGCTCCCTCACAACAGTCAAAGTAAACACCTCAATGCCTTTCTTTCAAAACAAAACAAATACTGTTAACTCATACATACAGCTTATACATGTACTTTTAGTGTCTTTTATGAATTTTATTACTTAATTATTAGCAGGACACACTCTAAGGCCACACTAAATATAGGTCTAACTAGGTCTAAATATACTGATATATTCAGATAAGTTTACAGCCAAGCCAATTGGTTTCACTGCCATTTTAGATTCCACCGATCATCTCATTATCCTTAAAGAAGCATTCATTTTGTCTTGGCTGCCAGCAAAATTTGCTGTTACAAATTGTTTACTATGACCTAATACTAAGCCAGAACAGTATTTGACCATACTTATATGCATAGATGTATGAACTTGAGAGGTTCATTCTGTTAAATTGCTCTTCTGTGGTGCGTGAAGGGACAAGCTAGCTCAAGTGGCCACCCTTCACATCTGACTTGTTTGGAAAATCTAGGCCTTTTTCTTTTTATTTCAGTGGATATTTATATACACTAAAATGGTCTAGAATAGTACATAAGTAAAAGATACACTTTATGGCCAAAAGTATGTGGACACCTGACCTTCACACCCATATGTGGTTCTTCCCCAAACTGTTGCCACAACGTTGGGAGCACACAATTGTATAGGATGTCTTTGTATGCTCTAGCATTAAAATTTCCATTCACAGGAACTAAGGGGTTGAGTCCAAATCTATTCCACCATGACAATGCCCGTGCACAGAGCGAAGTTTTTAAAGACATGGTTTGCCACGGTCGTTCTCCTTCACCCTCTCAAAGCCCCTCTCGATTGAAACTACAGACGACTCATGAGTTGTCTTTTAAGGAAAAGGGGCAGAGCTGAGTTCTGTTCCAGGCTGGGCTGGTGATAACTTCCAGGGTGAACATTTTTAAACAGAAGATTGAAAAAAAGAAAAGGGCTAGATCCATTGCACATTCATATTGTGAATCAATTTTTTTCTAAGGTATATTATAGGATTAATAAAAGTCTAGAAAAACTACATTACAAACTGCACATTTATTCACTACATATGGTGATGTATTTTATTTTATTAAATTTATGTTTATGTCAGTGTTTGTCCAGGACGGCAAGAGAACAGTGAATGGAAGAGGACGGTGTGCCACAGGAGTCCAGGGGCACAGGTTAAAGTAGCAGCAGTGGTTAAAACCTCCCTGACAACCTGTACCACTCCAAAACCTGCCCCTAGAAAAAGGAGGAAGATTCACCCATCTGGGTTTAGGGGCAAAGGCAAGCAAAGTTATACTTATACAGCATTTGACAGTAGTGCCAATGTAGATGTAGCACCCATCCAATGAGGAAACAAATACACACATCATTCCCAAGACCTCTGGTGAGTTATTATTGAATACATTATTAATTAGCAGAAGAGGGGGTCCCTGGAAGACTAGTGGTTAGGACTCGGCTCTCATCACCGTGGCCCGGGTTCGATTGCCGGCCAGGGAACTAACCCCAGCCATTGGGGTTGAACATGACAGTGCACTCCCAGTGCCAGTCCCAAGCCCGGATAAAATTGGGCAGGGCTGTGTCAGGAAGGGCATCTGGCATAAAAACTGTGCTAAGTCAAATATGCAGACTGTGGCAACTGAAAGAAGAAGAGGAAAAAGAAGAACAACAACAACAACATTAGTTTGCAGAAGAGGGACAGTATATTTTAAACAGTAAAACATGTATGATGCTTGTAGTCCATTAGTAAAGGCCTCTCTGTATGTGTTACAGTATATACTTCTTTCAGTCAGTAACTGTGTTAAGCAGAATTGAAACTCTGAGAGCATTTTGTCCCCAAAACAATATCTTTATTCTGGTGCCTCACTCTTTTGGCCACTAGATGGCAGCATGAAATATCTGAAATTTCAGCTCCAGGTTCAGCAGAAGCGACAATCATAAACCATCAGTCAGCAGTGACTTGAGATCATAGATTTTGGTGGGGCAGGACGACATTAATAACAACACAGGCTCAAACGAAATTCAGTTGAGAGGATATCACAGTTTACTTATCTCATAGTAGTTGAGTTAAAGCAACCCCGTAATAGGCAGTTGAAAGTTGATAACATACATTCATCACGCATACATTCTAGCAGTTTATATTGAGTGGTTTTAGACATACCCAACTACATCTCAGTAACCACACATTGTTAATGAACTAGCTCAAAAATCAGGCACTGGAAAAGGGAGACACATTTAGACAAACTGTATGCACTTACACTTTTTTTTGGGTGGACATTCATTTGATTTAATTCAGGTTATTTGCTATAAAACAAGAGCTTGGCGGTTGTGGAGTATTTAAACTCAAATCTGGCAACACCATTTACTGTCTTGTCTGCGGCTCCTCTGGCTGATGTGTATGGTGGGGCTTCCTGCTCCTGTGGACAAGCCTGCAGCACTATCAGTTTGCATGAAATCTTTTTCATTATTTTTGCATTTGACCTGAGTTAATCCTTTAGTTACATATGCTACATATCTGTTTCAGTCACTCTCTAAAACACTGCTGGTGTTAAATGCACTCTGTTTCATTTGTCCAAAGTGCACTACCACCTTGTGTTTATGCATTAAATAAAGCATAGTTTGCATGAATTTATTCTGCCTTGAAACAGTACGCCATTTCGAAATGTAATACTGTGTTTAGTATGTATTTTCCATGGTTCCCTTTCTGAAAGCAATGAAAATACATAATGTAGGGCCTGAAGTATGGAAATCATTCTGCTTTTGCTGGGAGCTCTGCATACTACTGCCCTTCACATCAGCACAAACTAGATCATCCGTCAGCTCCTGAAATTAGAATAACAAAGCCTGCTGTTATTGTTTCCATATGTGAGTCATATCTGTGAACTTGGGCTTAGCTGATGGTCATGAATGACCTGACACAGGAATTAATGAGGCATCATGGGTGTTACGAGTGGTTTATTTCCTGTTGGGCTAATGAGTGACTCGCTGGGTGTAAAGTCCATTAACAGACTAAACAGGGACCTCCCAGCAGCATAAACCTTGCTTCATTATAACATACAATGATGTTCAAAAGGGTTAAACTTTAAAAAATGTCAATATACACATACTGCAGGATATGAGTTATTTTACTGTGTCGTTTTTTCACTGACAGATTTTAAATCTGATTTAGCGTCAGCTCCAGTATAAAGGCCATCCATCCCTTGTTTTACACGCAGCTGAACGTGTCGTCTGTGTGATCTCGGGCAGACAGCGGGGAGGGAGGAGAAGAGCAGGGTTATTTATGATCTGGATACATTTTTCTCCTGCTTTAATCACTCAGACTATTTGTTAAGCATGATAAGGTAGAAAAACCGATCTCAGATCATAGTCCGTGACTGGTCAGTTCAGATGTCAGCAGGAACAACAACAGCTGCTGACACACCCCCTGTGCTCCCTTTAAAGCAGCTCTGACCAATCAGAACTCCAGCTGCCTTATCAGCTTTTCAAAAATGGAAAGGCGGTTACAATCCGTGCCTGCTTTTGTTGGCTAAATGTGCTTACACTGTTTCAAGTGAGACTCTTCAGTTATGAGCGATGTTTAGCTTTGGTATTTAAGTATTTTTTGGTATGGACTGTCAACACACAGAGAGCGAGCCACTTGGCTGGTGTAACAAATGGCAGCAATTCTCATTCATTTTACAAACTCATGGTGAGTCTTGATCTTTTTGGTGCCATTGTTTCTCTAATGAACGGCAGACTTCTTTAGATGAAGTGCGTGATTTACAAAACGAACAAGACAACTACAAAACTATATTCTCATTATATAAGTATCAAAAATGAGCAAAATCAAAATAATATAAATAAGAATAAATGTACTGTTGAAACTGGAAGTGAAGTTTTTGAGATCACCATCATTTTTATACTAAAACAGGTGTTTAAAGTAGATGCCTTTTTGCCCACAGGTCAGTTGAAACTGACAGTAACACCAGACAATGGTCTGCTTCATATTCAGAGTAAGTACCATAACCCCTCGTGTGCCATATTATGTATATATAATTACTTGTGAAATGGATAATCACTACTGATTTTGCACTACATTGTTTGTTCTGAATTTTGTGGACAGCTGAAATGACTTTCTAAATGGTATACATTTATGTTAGTGATTACTCAATTTTGCTTGAAAGTCATTATTTGGATAATTTGTATCATTGTTGATGGTAATAAATTTAAGTAATAAATGAAATTCTTACTTATTACTGATGTTGGTGTCAAAAACCCACAGTTCTGGAAGCCCGGGGTCTGCTGGGACGTGAGTGTAGGCCATGTGACTCGTATGTCAAGGTAGGTCCGTTAATAATGTATATAGTGTAGTTAGCGCATACAATACTCCTTTTCATAATTTTGTGTTTAAAGGGGACAATACAACATTTAAAATGCATCTTTAATCTTTAATTGTAGCTTTAGGTTTTTAGACAGTGTTCTGGATTTAATGACGAAGTGAGATTTGTGTTTTCATCCATCCCTGTCATGTTACCCTCTGAGGAGTTTCACCCTCAGACTGAACCCACTCTCAGGCTCTGCTGCTTTCAGGCAGAAGATAGTATCTGGGTCATCTGTCCACTTAGATACAACCCAAAATACCATGTGTTGGGTGACATCCCCTACGTCCATGACACAAATGGCTTCATGCTATAGTTAAACCTCTCAGTGCAAAGAATGCATTAATATGTGAGAGATGTTCTATTTCAGATAACTCTAGTTCCAGATGTTGACCACAGTAGAAGGCAGAAGACCAGGACTGTCATCAATTGCAAGAGTCCTGTGTTTAATGAGTCCTTTGTGATGTAAGTACAGCATTCTCTATACATCTTAACTGGCTACGTGATATGGCCAGAAACAGTATAATGTGATTATATTGCTATATATCATTAACAAAATGTTTTGCAATATATCACAAATAGCGCCTGTGCTGGGTCATAATTTGGTGCATTTAATGCTCACAGAACATAAAAAAATGTCATTTGTTACAGACTTTATTTGTATATTACAGGAAAACATTGTTATTACATGTTATGCAGCTCTAATACGTCTGCTTTTAAGCACAACATGAATGTTTTATGCATGAAAATAAAGAGCAAGCTAAATGCCACATTATCTTAACTGAATAATTCATTGTGTATTAGTTTGTTCATTCCCTCTGTCATTTTTCTAGCCTTAAATGCATGTCTTGACCGTTAGACTTATATCTGCTGACTAACAAGAATCAGGGGAAAAAGCTTTTCTTCTTAGGACACAGAAGCCCTTTGTAGAGGGGAGCTATTGTTTTATTTTTTCATGTGGTTGGGCAGTGATTGATGAGGTTTTGAGGTTTTTGATGTTTGTGGATAGAGATGTGGGTGAGGACAAGCAGCTGAAGAGACTGTTGGTGACCGCTTGGAATCGCAGTCGGACTTCTAGGTGGCTCTTTTTTTTCTCCTGTTTTTATGTATTGAATCATTTGCTACTTTTGGCTAAATGTTCATGCTAAATTTTCAGTAAACATGAGAAATAAGAAGATAAGAAATAGATTTTCTTCTGTTTGTTAAACTCATTATATTGTAGCTGCTTTAACTTTACAGCTTCTGTTTGACTGGATGTGTGTTTGTTCTGGCAGACGGAGTGAGTTCCTGGGCTGTATGAGTTTTGGTATTCACTCCCTCATCACTTCTGCAAAGGTATAAACATCAGTTATAATGTCTTTTATGTGCATTAGGGCTTACTGTTTAAAAGAACAAATCATAAGGTAATAAGAGTTATAAACAAAAGACAGGCATATACAGTACATGCATAGAGCTGCTAAATTGAATAGAATGGTCTTTGTTAAGGACCATTTCAAGGCAAAGATCATTTTAAAAGAAAACAGAGGGCTTCATTAATTTGCGTCCTTGTAGATAAAGCATTTCCTCTGATCATCTGCTGATTACATAGCATGATTAGCAACAAATAAGGTTTTACAATGGAGTTTGAGAAGGATGAACAATAATTAAATTTAATAATTAAAGGACGTGCATAATGAGCATGTGAAGCTCTGTGCTGCCTTCTTGCAGGTATCCCACTATGCAAACACCTAGAAAGGTCACATTTTTAAAAATGTATCAGGATTTCCCCTGTGGTATGAGAGCTAGTGGATTTTGAAAGGTATGAGAACTAGTGCATTTTTGATCGTTTTAGCTGCATTAGATGAAGCCCAACAGACACTGAGTGGACATCAGATTTGTTTAAAAGAGCAAGAGTATTCACTGCCTTTTACTCGCTCTCTCTCCTCTCACTTTCTGTGCTGATGTGTGTTTCTGGACAAAAAAAAGAGCTCACTTTTTTAATTCTCTGTGCAGGAGATCAGGGGTTGGTATTATCTCCTGGGCGAGGAGTTGGGCAGGAACAAACATCTGCGAGTAGCTACACGTCGTGTCAAGCAGTCTGATGGTGAGCTAAGATGATTTTCTCCGCTTATGGCTACAGCTGATTATCTACTATAGGCCTGG